GTTCTGACAGATGCCGCGTGCTCATGATGGCGCACAGTCTAGCCGCTCATCAAGTGGACACCCCATCTCCCTAAAACGGACATCAAGCCCCATGATGCAGAAGACTCGTCTTTGCCTCCTTACTTGCGCCATGGTCAAACAGTTGCCAATACATCCACAAGATGTCGAGAGGTGAAATATGGCAAATGATTGGGTCATCCGTGAGGCGCAGCAATGGCCTCTCCACAATGAGAAAACCCAATTTGACCGCAACGCCCTCGCATTGGATGACTGCACTTGGCGTAGCGCTCTTCAACACCGCTGATCCCAGAATTTAGCTATGCAGGTAGCGTGGATGTGAACAACGAGTTGAGAAAAAGAAGCCTGGCGCTTACATTCTTCAGCTTTCGTGCCTGTGAACTTCGCCTTCTTTAACATACATCATACACGGAGCTTTGTAGCCCCTGTTCGAACTGACAAAGCTTACCGCTTGCAACCCTGGGAAAGGGGGCTGTGTCAGTTCCCGGGGTAATAAATGGGACATCCACCACTTCAATATGGATTATATTTTTATTTATTACTTTTCGCGCTCCAATTTCTCATTTGGATATAATATATCCCTCTTATACATACTTGGCATTCTTTGCACAAACACTCGTTGCAAATTACCAGAAAATTCAACTAAATCCTCGGCGTCTCTGGGCATCCGTCCTTGGAAGTACACAGCCCCGTTGAGAGGGGAAAACATAACAAGGTCTCGTCACCCCCACGAGAATTTCTTGACATCAGCGAGTATTACATGAACTTCATGACCTGCTTTTACATTTGATTCGCATATTCTCATCGGAAGAACTCCGTGCGGTTCGCACTATGTCTTCTTCAAACAACGATTCCTCCCATCAGGGCTCGCTATTGAGTCCTGTTATAGTGACAGACTTTTCGGGCAGAGAGGTTGGTCACCCAAGCCATCCTATAAACGCCTGGACTCTTTGGCTAATTATCCCATTTCATTTTTTTTTTCTTCACAGCGATCTATGTCTACAGCCTCTTCAGCGTGGTCGGGTCCTACAGATCTAAATCACAGCCCAACTTCTCCTGTCTCACCAGATATGGCGTGGAATCAGCCAGACCCAGGCCGGTTGATGGTTCAAAATGCCTCGCATCGACCGTCACAGTCGATTGATGGCGATACATTGCGTCCGCGGGCGGACTCATTCGCTTCTTCTGCTGATACTGTAGTTCGCTCGCGCGCGAATTCCGAAGTAGACCCGACTTCCAAAGGTGTCTATGACGATGTATCGCTGTCAGAAGCTTTGAAACCGGATCCGAGGAATGAAACTGATTTCCAAGTGGAAGATAATCGGTTTGCGTTTTCCCCGGGTCAACTAAACAAAATGCAGAACCCGAAGTCCTTGGCTGCTTTCCATGCTCTTGGTGGCTTGCAGGGTCTGGAGCGCGGTCTGCGAACAGACCTAAATGCCGGTTTGTCAATAGATGAAGGGCGTCTAGAGGGCAATGTCGAGTTCAAGGATGTGACACCTTCGCAAGACACATCTGCAGGAACATCTCCATCAAAACCTGTCACTTCGGCCCCGGCGCCGGTGTCATCTGGTAGTGGCTCACCCTTCGAAGACCGCATTCGTGTCTTCAGTCGGAACAAACTACCCGCTCGGAAATCGACCGGGTTCTTGAAATTATTTTGGGCTGCATATAACGACAAGATTATTATATTATTGACTATCGCCGCTGTGGTCTCACTATCCCTCGGGATATACGAGACCGTGGACGAAGGTACGGGCGTCGACTGGGTGGAAGGAGTTGCCATCTGCGTGGCAATTTTGATTGTCACGATTGTCACAGCTGTCAACGATTGGCAAAAAGAGAGACAATTTGCCAAACTCAACAAACGGGCGAGTCTTCCCCTACCAATCCAGAAAGTGAGCACAGCTAACATCCCAATAGAACGATGACCGGGAAGTCAAAGTCACCCGCTCAGGCAAAACTGACATGGTTTCGGTCTACGATATCATGGTTGGCGACATCCTCCATCTCGAGGCTGGCGATTCAATCCCCGCAGATGGCATTCTAGTCTCAGGCTACGGCGTGAAGTGCGACGAGTCTTCCGCTACCGGCGAGTCGGATCAAATGAAAAAGACCCACGGCCATGAGGTCTGGCAGCAAATCGTTGACGGCAAGGCAACGAAGAAACTCGACCCGTTCCTGATCTCCGGCAGCAAGGTCCTTGAAGGTGTGGGAACTTATGTCGTCACCAGTGTTGGGCCCTATTCTACCTACGGACGGATCTTGCTGTCGTTGCAGACTCCTAACGACCCAACGCCGCTTCAGGTCAAGTTGGGTAAGCTGGCGGATTGGATTGGATATCTGGGTACAGCGTGAGTTGACTACACCTACTTTTTTTTTAATGTACGGGTTACTGATGATAATTGACAGAGCTGCTGGTATTCTGTTCTTCGTTTTGCTCTTCCGATTTGTAGCCGATCTTCCTAATCACCCGGACAAGACTGGAGCTATGAAAGGCAAAGAGTTTGTGGATATTCTTATTGTTGCTGTCACGGTTATTGTTGTCGCTATTCCAGGTAAGCGCCAATGTTTCGCCGAATTATTCGAACTCTACTGACATCCATGTTCTTTGCTAGAGGGCCTTCCATTGGCAGTAACTCTGGCTTTGGCCTTCGCTACCACACGAATGGTCAAGGAGAACAACCTCGTCCGTGTCCTTCGCGCATGCGAGACAATGGGCAATGCCACAGTCATCTGTTCTGATAAAACAGGTACATTGACACAGAATAAAATGACTGTTGTGGCCGGAACCTGGGGCTCGGATCAGGACTTCAGCCAGAGAACCGAAGATGCAGATGTGGAGGGTTCAATGACTATTTCGGCAGTCTCCCAGAAATTGTCGGCTCCTATCAAAGACTTGATCATCAAGAGCATCGCTTTGAACTCGACTGCCTTTGAGCAGGAAAAAGACGGCTCCATTGATTTCGTCGGCAGTAAGACTGAGGTTGCGATGCTTCAGTTGGCCCGGGATTATATGGGTATGGATCTTGTCTCGGAGCGTGGCTCCGCTGAAATCGTCCAATTGATTCCCTTCGACTCCGCCAGGAAGTGCATGGGTGTTGTTTACCGTATTCCTGGTGTTGGGTACCGACTGCTTGTCAAGGGAGCGTCCGAGTTGATGGTCGGCGCCTGCACAACAAAAATCATCAACATTGATACTTCCAAAGAAAGGCCTGATGTGGAGCAGCTTTCTGAGACACAGAAGAAGAGCCTCTTGGAGATCATCGACAATTATGCTCACAAGTCTCTGCGAACGATTGGCATGGTCTACAAGGACTTCGGAACCTGGCCCCCAACAGAAGCCAAACATTCTGAAGATTCTTCGGCGAACTTCGAGGATTTCTTCCATGGTATGACCTGGGTCGGAGTCGTGGGTATCCAAGATCCTCTTCGCCCCGAAGTTCCATCAGCCATTCGCAAATGCCACTCGGCAGGCGTTCAGGTCAAGATGGTGACTGGTGACAATATTGCCACTGCCACCGCTATTGCATCCTCTTGCGGAATCAAGACGGAAAATGGTTTAGTCATGGAAGGTCCCAAGTTCCGCCAACTCACAAACGCCGAGATGGATGAAGTGGTTCCGCGCCTGCAGGTACTGGCACGATCATCCCCCGAGGACAAGCGAATCTTGGTCGAACGGCTCAAGATCCTTGGTGAAACGGTTGCTGTAACAGGCGATGGTACCAATGACGGTCCGGCTTTGCGGACTGCAGATGTCGGCTTCTCCATGGGTATTGCTGGTACTGAGGTCGCGAAGGAGGCAAGTTCGATTATCCTTCTGGATGATAACTTCAAGTCCATTATCACAGCGATATCTTGGGGACGAGCTGTCAATGACGCTGTTGCCAAATTTTTGCAATTCCAGATCACGGTCAATATCACAGCCGTGATCCTTACCTTCGTGTCATCTGTGTACAGCAGTGATAACACCAGTGTTTTGACAGCTGTGCAACTCCTCTGGGTGAACCTGATTATGGACACCTTCGCCGCTCTTGCCCTGTAGGTTGTCCTCTTCGTGCTTTTATATCTTGCTTAGACTTTTTGCTAACTTTTTTGGGAAAACAGAGCCACGGATGCCCCGACTGAGAAGATTCTCGACCGCAAGCCTGTTCCCAAACACGTCTCCCTTTTCACATTGACCATGTGGAAGATGATCCTCGGTCAAGCAGTGTATCAGCTCGCCATCACCTTCATGCTCTATTTCGCAGGCGACAAGCTCCTCAGCGCCCATCTCAGCTCCGAACCCGAGATGCGCACGAAGCAGCTCTCGACCGTGGTGTTCAACACGTTCGTGTGGATGCAGATCTTCAACGAATTCAACAACCGTCGCCTCGACAACAAATTCAATATCTTCGAAGGCATGTTCCGGAACTACTGGTTCCTAGGGATCAACGCCGTCATGGTCGGCGGTCAAGTCATGATCGTCTACGTGGGCGGCCAGGCATTCGGCGTGACTCGCTTGAGTGGCATCCTCTGGGGTGTGTGTATCATCTGTGCTATTGCCTGCTTGCCCTGGGCTATCGTTCTCCGAATTATCCCCGACTACCATTTCGGACTTGTTTTCAATGCCGTTGTTGGCGGTATGGCTGTTGTTTTGCGCCCGATTGCTAAGGGGTGCAAGGCAATTGGTCGTGGTATCAGGTCTTTCTTTAGGCCTGTGAAGCGTTTCACTGGCCGTGTTGTCAAGAAGCAGAGCTCGGACGATGAAGCCGAGTTTAATCCGCAGCCCACAAAGTCTGATGATCCTGAACAAGCTCCTGAGAAACTCGAGAGCAAGCCAGAGCCCTCTCCTGAACCTCCCACCACGCCTCCTCCTGTCGTGGTACCCCCTATCACAATTACGACCTCTCCTTAGTTTGTCATTTAGCGTTGGTGTTATTAGCATTTGGCTGGCTGTTTGATATTTTATTGTGCTATTTGTATATAAAGCATCAGGTTCGATAGATATGTGTATAGTTAAATACTACCAAAAACCGAGACTCCTGCATTAATTATGAAACTTACTTCTCTCTACACGGAAAAAGTTCTGCAACTCAGTAGCACTATTTACTCAGAATACTCAGTAACCTTGGAATATAGCAGAGTCTCCAGGCAACTGGGTTTAAGATACTGTGTTTCCGCCTCAGGCCACAACACCCCGTGTCCAGCTCCATCTCCCGTGGACTCCCCAATTGACTCCGCGTTGCCCTGTCGACTCACCTTGTCACCTATCTGTGATCGGATAATCTGATCCCTGTCTCTCTCAAAGGCACTTTGATATTTTATTGTATCCCCATTGGATCCCAACTTGGAGAGGCTCCCACGTCACTAGTAATCTCCCCGCTTCCGCCCACCGCACCGATATACCAAACAGACCAACAGGCAGCTCCTCACAAGGCTTCCTCAATACAAACCCATTCGACTGGATTGGCAAACGACTTGATCGAGAACTATTTCTACTCTATCTCCGCCCTCAACCAAACCCCAACCGCTACCATGTCGCAAATCAACTACCGCACCATCAACATTGACGCCCTGGACCCCGAATCCTCGGCCAACTTCCCCATGGAGTCTCTCCTGCCTGCCACACTCCCCCAAGCTGCAAGCGCCAGTGACGCCGCCAATGCCGCGACACAAGTGCGCCAGATGCTGCGCGGCGGTGACCCGGAGGGCGCCCTGCGGACTGTCCTTGACACGGCGCCGCTGGGCGGCGATGACCGCGCCAAGGAGGTGCATCTTGCTACCGTCATCGATGTGTTGCAGGGTATCCGGCAGGGTGAGATGACCCGCATCCTGGAGGGCGTGTGCAGCGGGGATGGCGGGGCTGAGCGGGCGGATTGCTTGATGAAATACCTGTACGTGAAACTACTGTGTTTCGGTTTCCAGGAGAGGAACTGTCTGATGGAAGTGCGTGGATTTGATTGCTTATCTATTGATTACAGGTACAAGGGAATGTCCTCGGCTGCTCCCGGTAGCGGTACCCAGACGCCAAAGAAGCCGGTTTCGCCCCAGGACACGGGCTTCTCGCAGATCCAGGCTCGCAACTTGGGTGAAGGTGGTGGTGGTCAGCAGATGAGCGTTTTGCTGAGCTGGCACGAGAGGCTGGTGGAGATTGCTGGTACTGGGTCGATTGTGCGGGTCATGACTGATCGTAGGACGGTTTGAGCGGAGAAAACAGCATCGGATGGAGGTTCGTTTCTTATGATTTACATTTGACTGTGTTTTTGTTCTCGTCTTCTTGGTAGAGGCTTGCATTCCATACATCTCTGTTGATGATATTTCGCCAGTGTCGCTTTAAGCGTAGTTTTACATTATTATACTGTGACAAAATGTTGGGCTCTTTTCTTTGCCCTCTTGTTTCCATTCTTCATGGTTTACTAAAGTCACCTCCCTCAAGGATATCCTTGAGGTTAACATCGCCGCTGCCGCGCTGCAACGGCTGCGACTGGCCCTCGCCTTCCTTCCATCCAATCATATAGATCAACCGGAACGTGGCCGGGATACCACGCGCACCTTCCTCCATATGCAGGGAACGATATATAGCCTCATTAGCCAGCAGGACATCCCGCGACAGCGGTGCCGAGTCACGGTTCATGATTGCGTTACCCTCGCCCATCGCCTGCAAATCTTGCATGAGCGCAAATGTATCCGGGAACTCGACCACAATATCTTCAACATCAACAGTAAGCATCTTGAACCCAGTGCGGGTCAGCAAGCTCCCGACATCCTTGACATCCGCCAGAGGCGACACATGCGGACTCACACCACCGCGCCGCTCCATATCAGCCAACTGCAGCGACCCGCGCAGCTCGTACAACGTATCGCCACCAAACATCGCCGCGATAAACGGCGCATCGGGCTTCAGTATTTTGTTCACCTGTTCCAGGAGCGCGGGCAGGTCGTTGATCCAGTGGATCGAGAGCGACGACAGCACGGCGTCGAAGCTGTTCGGTGCGTACGGCAACGTCTCCAGGTCCGGAATCACGTCCCGTTGGATGTCAATCTCCTTGTTAAACTGCTCATTCTCGTCGCGGTGGAGTAGCGCGCGCGATGTCTCCACGCATGTCAGCTTCGAGATCTTGTTTGATAGTGGTGGTGTGATGGTTCCTTCCGGCATGACTGAGTCGATATTGGGGGATGTGAGAGCTCGGGCGATGTTGCAGCTGTTTGCGCCTAGGTCTAGGACATTTGGGAAATCACGTTTAATGTCCTATTCATGGTGATAGAAGCTATTGTCAGTGGATGTGTCTTGTTTCCTACTTCTGCGCTTCTTTTCCCGCGTTTGTTTCGTTGAGTGGCTTACCAGTAAGCGCTCACATAACCGCATTGCTACTTCATCTTTCAGGTAGTCGACTTTCCGACTCTCTTCGACATTCCGAGCTGCCCGATCTTTTTGGAGGTGCTTGACTTTGCGGTTGAAGACCTCAAGCATTGGGTTACCAGGCGTCTGGCTGGCATATTTTCGAACAGTAGTTGTTGGAGCAAAGCATCGCCTTGAGGGGCTGGCACGAAACGTTCGTAGAGGTATCATTGCGGCATGTAGAATAGATATGGAGGATTCTAAACCCTCAAGCATGCAGGTCTATGGTTTTGCGGCGATAGCGGGCAGAAAATGGCGGGATCTGACGTCGATTGTTGATGCGGAAGAGCTCCCTCTCCGCAGACCGTGGCTTTGTGCAATTGGTATTTTCGAAGCACTTGGCCTGGTGCCATTCATACTCCCTGATTGCATATTGTGCATAGTACATTGAGCGTGACAGGACCATTGCAACCGCTGCGCGAGTAAGTCCTCACCCGCCAACACGCTCCTCTCAGGGTTTCTGATTTGGCGCAACAGGGTTGGGACCCTGAATATTAAGATATTTTACCCGAAAAGACAAGCCATCTGATAGCTACGGAATTTGCTATCTGTTTACCTGTTTACTCCATCACGCTATACAGCTCTCGAACCCCCACAGGGACGAAGCATGATTTGATCCAAGTACACGCCTCGAAAGATACCACACACCATCTCGCTCGCTAGCCAACGTCAATATCAAGATGTCGCGTCCTTTCCCGTATACCTACATATCATGCCCCTGCGCCGACACCCCAGTCCCCGATCCAGCTAAGAAGCGGAGGTCGAGGGAGTCCCCGCAGAAGTCGCCGCAGAAACAACCACCCGAGCGGGCAAACCCAGACCAAGACAAGAAATTGTCAACAAAAGAAGAACAACAAGGAGAGGACGAGGATGAAGAGCAAACTTTTGATCCGCGCTCTCCACGGTCCAATTTCTCGCTGTATCCGCCTGAACAGCTTCTCTACTGCGAGGAGTGCCACCAGATCAAATGCCCCCGATGTATTACAGAGGAGATTGTGAGCTGGTACTGTCCTAGCTGCTTGTTCGAAACGCCGAGCAGTATGGTACGGAGCGATGGTAATCGGTATGTACTAGAGGATGTGAAGAGTTCTGTTCGAGTATCTACTAACACGCGCGTATCTATAGATGTGGCCGAAATTGCTTCAATTGTCCTGTCTGCACGGCTCCGCTGGCTGTGAGTACCATTGAGAATGCTGCAGGGAACGGGCCTCAACAGGGCCCGTGGGTGTTGTCTTGCGGATACTGTCTTTGGACGACGCTAGACATCGGTATCAAATTTGACAAGCCGACAAATATTCGCAGTCAGCTGCAAAAGATGACAGATTCAACTCCCCCGGCTGCTCTCAACCGCTCGAGGCAAGCTTCTCGCACTTTTGGAGATCTGAAACATCCGTTGTCCAGTTACGCCTCGATCGACGAGCAATCCAATGCGCGCGAGCGCGATGGAGAGCAGGCTGCACCAAAAGAAGACCTGGCTGCACCTCCAATGGGCACAGATGCCCGATTCGCGGCCCTGAAAGCCTTCTACCGTACACAGATCGCTGAGACATCAAACTCGCCCAATGATCATCTTAGCTCAGAATTTGGGTTCTCTTCGCCCGGCGCCCTAAACCGGCTCATGTCTCTCTACACATCCTCGTCGCGTCTAAGCGGGCTATATGGCGGCAGCAAGAAGCCCAAATCCAAGCCGCCTGTTATGCGCGAAGCTCTGACAGCAAGCGAGGGCCTTAAGATCGCCCCAGAAAACAACGAGACGGACATGATTGCACGACTTCAGTCTCCAGAATGTGGCTGGGATGGCATGGCGTCCATAGACCAGCGCGGAACCCAATCACCGGACGCCCGCTTCGTCGACGATCTCCTCCCACTCCCAGTCCTCCTCCGCACCAAGCGAGCTAAGCGCTGCAAGTCCTGCAAGCACATCCTCGTGAAGCCCGAGAGCAAGCCGCAATCTACTCGCTTCCGTATCCGCCTCATTGCCCTCAGCTACATCCCCCTCCCAACCCTCCGCCCTCTAGCCCCTTCTCCCTCATCAACCCTCCCGGCCATGGCCGCAACTTCTGACCTCAACTCCCTCCCACCTCTGCGCCCAATCCACGTCCTTCTTACTCTAAGGAACCACATGTTTGACCCCGTCCGCATCACCCTCGCCACGCCCCCGGTAACCCCAGGTCGCGTCGCAACCAAAGTCACAGTTCTCTCTCCGCAGTTCGAGATTGGCGCGAACAGCGATGTCTGGGATGAAGCACTGCAGGGCGCCTCTGCGCCTGTAACGAGTGACTCTCGCTCCGCCGCTCTGCGCGGAGTCCCTGAGGCAGGCAAGGTGTGGGATAAGGGTCGGAACTGGACGACCGTCGTGTTGGAGGTTGTCCCTGGTACGTTGCCAGGGAGTAGTGCGGAAGGCGGCGATGGCAATCCCAATACCGAGATTAATGATGAGGATGTCTTGGCGGTCGCGGCTTCCAGGCAGGATGAGGATGTGCTTGAGATTCCGGTCTTTGTGCATATGGACTGGGATGCGGATGCGCAGCTTGATCAGCAGAATGTCGGGAAGGGCTCTAAGCCTGATGATAAGGTTACCAGGGAGTTGGCTTATTGGATGGTGCTTGGTGTGGGCAGGATTCAGCCTTCCTTGTAGATAAATAGGGGATGTCATCGTGTTGTTCATATTCGCGTCGACTGGTTTGCGTTCTATACCTTTCATACCCCGAGCGTACTTGTTTTTTCCCGTCCATAGAAGCATCTACATAGTGTTCATTGTCCAGTGAGCTCTTGATTTGATACCGCCAAGTAAATATAATGGCAGAATATGAGTTACTTGACTTAACCACGGTGATATATTCAAGAATTATATCTGGATGTCCACGGGCAATCAATCCTATAATCTACAACAGGCTAGATCCCAATCCCAACCAGGCGAAACCATCTAAAGAGGAAGCAATGGAAGTCGGAATTGTTGAATTGGAATACTATTGGATATTCCATCCCACCCTCATTAGATCGGGAGGTAGAGAGAACTCAACTCCATCGCCTCACCCAGAGCTCACACCGGATACAAAAACCAATGCAACCAGTGACTGGGGGCAAAAAAAGAAAAGAGAAAAAACCGTCAATGCATTTTTATGGAGATCATCTCTTTGGAACCCATCAATGGCGTTGAATCTAGCAACAATTCAAAACTAGAAACAATGCCCATTCTCCCACGCATCAGCCGAGCACATTCCAAGCCCCTAGCCCCGAAAAAAGTCAAAGTGAACAAAGAACTCTAAATATGCATTTAGAACTCAGCGCCGCTCTGGGGGAACTCGAAGGCAACGGAGCGGCCGGTGAGGCGACGGTAGACCTCGCCGTAGGCATCGAGGCGGTGGTCGACACCACCACGCTCCTTCTCGTCGAGGATGACCTTGAGGGTCTTGGAGCCGTCCTCCTTGGTGCGGGTGCGCTTGCCGACAATCTCGACGGGGTAGACAAGGTCGGAGAGGATGGAGTCGTGGACAGCGGTCAGAGTGCGCGAGCGGGGGCGCTTCTGGGTCAGCTTGGTGCGGGAAGTGGCGGAGCGCTTGGGGCGGGGCAGGATGCGGCGCTGGGCCACGAAGAGGACGTGGCGGTCGGAGAACTTCTTCTCGAGCTCGCGGGTCAGACTGGAGTTGGTGTTAGTTTTGGGTTGTTCTTTGTTTTTCGAGGGCTTCTTTTTTTGGTTGGCCCATTGGTGTTGGAAGGGCTGATGGTTGCTTACCGTTGCTGAATCTTGTGGAAGTTGGCCAGGAGGGGGACGGGGACGAAGACAATGATGGCCTTCTTGCCG